AAAATGAGGCTTAGAGAAGTTCTGTAACTTGCTCAAGACCATGCAATCAGCAAGTCTCAGGCTTCCAAATACTATAGAGTACAGTTAGTCAAGAAAGTCTCACCGTTGCTGTTCTTCACTTTTACAGAACATAACCAGAGGCAAGGAGAGCAACTGAGCCAACGTTCTATAGCCACACTGGTCACTATTGGAGCTACTGAGCACTTGAAAATCCTGTATGTAAAACATACCCTGCATCTCAAAAGCTCAGAACAAGAAAAATAATGTAAAACATCTCTTAGTATTTTTCTATTCATTACATGTTGTAATATTGTAGATATATTGGGTTAAAGTACATTATTAAGATGAATTTCACCTGTTTCTTTTTCCATTTTTAAAATGTGGCTACTAGGAATTTTTAAATTATATCTGTGACATTTTATTTCTATTGGACAGTGTTGGTCTACAATATCAACTCAATCGTATTTTAGTTTTATTTAAATAAGAGGTTTTGTTATTTACATCATCTCCAAGAATTGGTTTCTTCCTTCTTTAAATATTGTAAGGGCTTTCTCCTTAATTAAAATACAAATTACTCACACGTGGGATAGTGTCCTTAAATAGCTCATGCAGCTTCAAACAATGTTATTTAAATCCGGGAAACGATCATGCTTCGTCACACTCTTTTAAAATTGCCCTTGTTTAAGCAAATGTTTCCTAGCTAAGTTTCAAATTTACCCCTCTGCATATCTCGCATACATGCTTTTAATCTTTTTTGCCATTAATATTGCCATAATAGTGAAGAGAAGAAAAGCAAAGCGACAGGAGAGGCGTGGCAAAACCAAGGGAGATATTTTTGCAATGCAGCCTGGGGAAAGAGAAATGAAGCCAAGTCAAAATATATCAGGGTCTTGGGGCTGCTGCATTCCTGCCATTGGGGAGCAGGGGAAGGTGAGGGAGGGGCTGTCAGGGACAGTTTAGAGCATTCCCCTGCAGCTCATTTACAGCAGGAGTGGAATTATGGAGGGCAGAGCCAAAGTTACATAACTGTGTGTGTGAAAAAATACCTGTGGGAGGCATTAATGTTTTCTCCTTGTATTTTAGAACCAAAAAAAGAAATTTTTTTTAATGTATCCCAAAGTTTCTCCTCCAATAATAGCTAGCATTTATTGAGCACTCAGAACATGTCAAGCCTTTCACATGTATAAACTATTCAATCTTCCCAGTAACGCCAGGAGAAAACTGAGGCACAGAGATGTCAAGTAATTAGAGTAACATAGTTAAGAGATGGTAGAATTTGGATTAAAGCCAAGGCCACAGGAGTCAAGGGTCAGGTGGCAGAGCCTAGGCTCTAACCACTGCACATACTGCCTCATCCAGCTCTCTCAGCCAAGTTATTGTGTTTCTCCTATACCATGATGAAACCAGGCGTCTGGAGTTAACACTGTGATTATCCATAAAGTATAATAAATTCAGAATGTCAAAAACTAACTCAACCAAGGGCAATTTTTGGTAAGATGTTGAAAGTCTATAACACTAGAAATTCATTTTAACAATGATGAAAAAAGAGTGAAAGTCAGTAAAAGGCAGATTTATCTAGCTTGTATCCCAACGGAGCATTACTAAAGAACCAAAAAAATCCTATGAAGAAGCTGGGTTTTGCTATAAGGCATAAGAGTTACATGAAAATTCCATCCCTGACCCTGCTGAGGCGTGTAGTTCCACTCTGCTACAATACCTCATAGTCTCCTTTAGTTTCCCTCATACTTAAACTCTCTGTATCTCTCAGTTTATTTGTAAAATTGGGATAACATTAGTACCTGCCTCAAAGAGTGTAAAATTTAAACAGATTCATACACCTAAAATGCATGGAAGAATTCCTGACACATAGCAGAAGCTTAAAATATGTTACTGAGTGTTATTGATTTAATTGTGTCCCCCAAAAAGATATGTTGAGGTCTCAACCCCTGTTCCTGTGAATGTAACCCTGTTTCCTTTTGATATGTTAATGAGGTCACAGCAGTATAGGGTGGGTCCTAAACCTAATCTCTTCTAAATGACATCTTATAAAAAGGGAAAACGGACCCGGAGAGAAATACACACACAGCGGGAAGAGACCATGTGAGAATCTGTCAAGAAGCCAAGGAATGCCAAGAAATGCCCAAGGCTACTGACAAGGAAAGACTTTCCCCCAGAGCTGATGCCTTGACTTGGACTTCTAGCCTTCAAAACTATTCTTTAAGGCCACTCATTTATGATTATGTTTGTTATGGCAGAACTAGAAAATTAAGACAGTGGGTATTATTATTTATAGCATTTAACACAATACATTATTACATACATGTCTGTGATCGTTCATTCATTGTTTGACTCCCCTACTAAAAATACAAGCATCTTGATGGCAGGGACAATTATCCGCTTTGATACACATCACAACTGTTCACTGGTTTCCAGTTCTCCACTCCATCTGAGCACCTGAGGAGACTGTGCTTCCTTGCTGTCTTGAAGTTGATCATGGCCATTGACTTGTTTTAGCCAATGAAATATGAACAGAAGTGTCATATTTGAATGATCTGGATGCTGCCCTTGTCTCTCCATCTCTCCTTTTCCCTATTTCAGGGAATGTGGAAGCAGTTGTGATAAGAAAGTACAACACTGAGTCCTGAGGAAGAATGCAATTACTCTGCAGAGTAACCTGGACCCACAGCAGACTTTGCATGAGCAAGAAAGAAACCATTACTGTCTAAAGCCTCTGAGACTTTGGGATGGTTTATTATAGCAGCATAAAATAGTCTACACTGGCTATTACAATCATTATATTCCCACAGCCTAGCATACAGTCTGGCACCTAGTAAATGCTCAAATATGCTTTGACTAAATGAATAAATTAAAACTTTGAATCACCAATTAAAATTAATAATTCGGGTCAAAGAAATCATTTTCAACTCCATTCTCTATACATTGAAAACCCTTGAAAGCTTTAACTGATTAGAATGTGGGGATCACCATCCTCGGGGAGTCAAACCATCATTTTAGATATCAAAGGCAGAGTCGCTCATGCTTTGCACTCAGAGGGACTCCATGAAATCTTTGTTGAATTTCAATTGAATAAATTGTTCTGTGAAGCTCTTCTCAAAAATCTTTAGTTCTGACACAGATTTACTTACATAAATGGACCTATTTAAATGCACTAATGCCTTATAGCATGTATGTCCTTGCAAAATTTTATCTGTGTGTGGTCCCTGCCTCCATGACAACCACAGCCCAGATGCAGAAACTCTTCTTAATCACATAGATTAGACTAGAAACCGGAAGGACCTCGAGGTCAAAAGCATTCAGTGAACATATTTAACAAATTAAATTTGCAGTTTCTCTGGCCGAGGAGGAGAGAAGGGAGATGGACACTTGGATGGAATATCTTGTACTTCTCCTTCCAACAAGAATCAATAAATTTACCAAGACAAAAGAAAAACTAGGAGGCCAGTTTAATCTGTTTGTGGAGATGTGAGTAGGATTCACAAATATGTAATGGTGGGGTCAGGTACAGAGGAATTGACCTGGTCACAGACGAGGTAATGAGGCCCCAAATAGTGAGAAAATAAAGCCTTACTGAGTCCCTGATACATGAAAAGAGAAGCCACAGAAAAACACACGTGCACCAAAAAAAAAAAAAAAAATGCTGTTCTCCAGTGCCGCTAATGGTCCTGGGCAAATCAATTCTTTTGAAAGGCTCATTAATGCCTGCAGCTCCCCAGTTCTAGAAACAAAGAGACCATCAGGCTCATAATACCATTGGTATTAGGAGAGAATCTGGCATCTGGTTTGACAGAGATGTGAGAACTCAGCAAGCCTAAATGGAGGGAAATTAAGTAAAGACAGAGCTTTAACCTTGGACTTTGGAGAAGGAGTAGAGTACAGCAGATGGTCCAGGGTGCCTGGGCAGGCATCTTGTCTGTACCATTGGCTAGTTGTGTGATCTTGGACAAGTACTTAAATCTCTCCGTGCTTCAGTTTCATCCCCTGAAAATGAGGAAGAGTGCCCGCTTCACAGAATTGTTGTGAGAAATAACTTGGTTTATACCTGTACACACATTTCCCAGTGCCTAACGCACCAATCACTCAGGAAATGTCAGCAATTGTTATTATTATGGGCCTGGTGCACAAATTATTCAGTTAGGGGGTCCAGCCCTTACCAGGTATGGGACCTTGAGCATCTCTTCTCTGTGCCTTCGTTTTCTCGTCTATAGAATGAAATAACCATTCCTATCTCATAGGGTTCTTAGAAGGAATCATGATACAACATGCAGCACAGTTACTGTTACCTGACATTAGTCCTGTTTCTTCTAGTAAGAAGCTGAAGAGGGTGGCAGGCATCCTGGCTCAGGATCCAGGAAGTGCAGTGGGGTTGAATGTGTGAAGGGTTTAGTGTGCCAGTAGCAACTTTTGGAGAAAAGAAGGAAAGGTTCCCATACTTGGAAAGAAATGGGCATGCTCTCTTACCATGGTGGAGTCTGGCTCTTCGAAGTGACGCTTAAGATGGCATATGGTCACCTGTTTAAATTCTGTAACCTCATATAAGAAAAGCTGAGATAGCTTCCCGCGGGCAGAGATCAAGATTGGCTCACATCTCTTTGCATTCCCCCAGTTCCCGACATAATGCGAAGTGCTCCAACCATTTACTAAATAATTCTGATCTCGCGCCCTTGACTGTCCAGTAGAGGCCGCTCTGGGCCGGGGCTCCGGGGACCTGAGCGCGGGGGGTGGCCCTGTCGTCGCCGTTGGGCCGGGTGGGAGGGGTTTGGCGGTGGCGGGTGCGGACCGCGGAGGCGGCCCTGGACTCCGGCGGCTGGGATGGAGCAGAAGCGTGCCGAGCGCCGCAAGGCACGCAGCTGACTGATCGGCGCCGCGCTCGGCTCACCACTCCTTCCGCCGCTGAAGCCGCCCGGGCGGTGCACGACTTCCAGTTCCCACCGCAGCCTCGGGGCAGAGGAGGAGCCGCCTGCGTCCAGTGCGCTCAGTCAGTCCCGGCAAACTCTCCCGCTGCCCACGTCGGGCTCGGCACCAAGCACCAGGGTACCATGGTCTGCAAGACTCTCTTCGCCCTTTGCATCTTCACCGCAGGTACTTCGGGGCGCCGTCTGGGCTCCGGGTCTAAAGCGGGGAGACCTGGGAAGTAAGTCGTGGCCCGCGGGAGGTTGGAGTGGTGCGTGCTGCCGCCGGGGGTGCACGCAGGTGTGTGCGCCATTTGGATTTGGGATGATGGGCGCCTTTCGAGATCCTGGGCCGTGCCGGAAGAAGGGGATGACAGGGGTCCTTCCTGCCACAGCCCACTCCCGCACAAACTCCAGCTTCGTGGAACAGGTGGCTGCGCGGCGCGACTGAACCCGGGTGGGCGACACTGGCTGCTTTTCGAGGCTTCTCGTTCCTCGCCGGGGTCTCCGGGCGCACCTTGCAGTCTGCCACAGCCTGAGAACAGACTTCTTGGTGCGGTTTGGCCGGGGGATGGATGAAAAAGCAGGGGGGAAGAAATAACAACGGGAAGTCTTCGCCAGTGGCTTAGCGGCAGCGGGGCAAGACTTGGCGGCCTCTGGTCTCCAGCGCCCCTTCCTAATTACGCTTGGGAATGATGCTGCACTAACAGCCCCACTGGTGGCGGCCCCCGCCAGGCTCAGGCTCCGATCACCGCAGGCAGTTTGCAGGTCTAGCCTGTGGTCCGGAGCCTGCAAAAAATGCTCCCCATGGAAAAACTAATAACTTGGCTAGATCTAGCACCCTTACCCCCTCTCCACACACACTCGCCGTCGCGGGGACCGCTTCCGCACGCGCGCTTCCCGGGTCTCGGATCACCAACCGCGGCGGCTACTGGAAACAGGAGGCGGAGAAGCAGGAGGACTGAGTTCGCGGTGTTGTGGGGACCAGGGAGAGATTCAGAGCAACCCTTTGAGTCTAGAGTTCGGGTACCCAATTTTCCAGAAAATACAGCCCCGACAAGGGACAGCAGATCATGGCTAAGGTCACGTATAAGGCACCGATGGGAAAAGTAGCCAGGGTTGCGCGGACACTGGCATGTTAAGAATGATCAAAAGCCACAGCAGAAGCTGATTTGGTACATGCTGTAGGGTCGCTATGAGTTGGAATTGACTCGACGGCAACGCGTTTGGTAATCTGTGTATCTCCTCCCCTCCCCTTCCGCCCCCAGATCCCTTACGATCTCTTGAAACTAAGCTAGGGACGTCATGGCAGCTCACAAAAGATAATACGGTTTTAAGGAAAAGTTTCCCAACTTGAGGCAGTTTACTGAACGTCTACTTGCTAAACGTTTGAGAAAACTCCTTTTTCTCTCTGGTCTGTGCATGGTTTGGAGACGCGTCGGCAAACGGTTCACAAAGCCTCTCCGCGCGCGGAAAGGCTTTGGCTGAGCAACCTCGGACCGGGCTCAGAGCGCCGGGATCCGGGTAGGTGAAACAGCCGCATCCCGGTCCCAGCATTGCTATTCGTGGTAATTTACGTAATCCTAGAAGCAACATGTTTACAAAATGACATGGAAGGACCTTCACTTTCTTCTCACTTTAAATCTGCTCATGAGGTTCAGAAAACCTTGAGTGAGCCAACAGAGCCAGAAAATAGATTCGCTTTTAAGTGGATTGCCCCCTCCCCCTTTTTTTTTTTAAACAGCTCTGCCATTGGAAAAACCGGGATTAATCCTAACAGGAGTGTATTGTAGCGTTTTTCCCACCCTCCTAACAAGGAGCTCAAGATTGTGTGTGTGTGTGTGTGTGTGTGTGTGTGTGTGTATGCCCGCGCTCCCACAGTCGGACAAAGCCCAACAGTCTTAGACTTTTGGCCCCCCTATTTCAGGGCAGGAAAATTGCCCTTGTCCATAGCCAGAGTAAGGAGGATGGTAGGTCAAGGGCCGCCTGAGCAACCCCACCCTCACCCATTCACAGGTGTGCTGGGATCAGAGCCAAGAGGTTTATGGTCTCCCAGGTCTGGGGCTCCGATAACCGTGAGGGACATACTGCCTCTCTCCTCCTGGTTGTGTTTCTATGTGCATATTCTGTGGGGAAGGAAGAGGATGAAGCTAATGGAAGCTTCTTCTTACCCTCTGGAGTTTGTACCTCTAAAGGTGGCTTTAGGGGTCAGTTGTTATAGTTACTTAAATTGTCCTATATATATATATATAAAATGGCACAAATACCTCATGAGAGTCTTTGTACCTCGAAGTGTGTTTTTTTTTTTTTTTGAATCAGAAATAGTATTTTTCCAGAAAGAATGGGTGTGTTGGTAAAGGAGAGAGCAGCAAGGAGTCTTGAAATGGCAGCAGCAGGTATGTTTCAGCAGCTCATCCTCCAGCTCCCTCCACAAGCTCAAGATAGTTCCACCAGACTGTTTCTTCCTCCCATTTTTCTCCCCAGCTTAGAGGCTTCAGGAAGATATCTGTAAAAATGTTCAGGTTGCGCCAGGAAGAAGGTTACCAAAACAAAACACATTGCTGTAGAGTAGATTAGCGACCCTATAGAACAGAGTAGAACTGCCCCATAGGGTTTCCAAGGAGTAGCTGGTGAATTCACACTGCCAACCTTTTGGTTAGCAGCCTGAGCTGTTAACCACTGCACCACCAGAAAGAAGGTTAGGGGACCTTTTTTTTAGCTTAACAAACTCTCTCAATATGTACATCACATTTCCTTGAGCCTGTATAATGGACACTCGAAAATGTTTGTGCATTGTTAACAGCCTAGCAAAGGTGTCTTCACATTTATTCCCTTGTATTTACAAAATGGGGAAGAGAGAAATCTTGGACTATCTATAGTTCTCTCAAAGTTGATTGTGGTAGAAAGCTAGCATGGTTATTTTACAGACCATTCCCAAACACCCTTTATGCCAGTGTAAGGCATACAGGAATACTGACTCCAAATTAAAATACAAGACAGAAGCTCTAAGATTTGGCACCAGACTGGCAAGGGAGGGAGAGTGGGCAGACCACTGCATTACTTTGCTCTTTATCCCTCTTCTCTGGATTCTCTCCTTTTGTTCCCACCACAATCATTGCTGCCCTCCGGGGAGTCAATGGCCCAATTTACTGAGACATCTGAGATATACTGGGTCTTTCAAAAAGCCTTTTCCAAATACTCAAGGAGGACTGAAGGGAAACAAACATAGGTTACAGAAGCACAAACCCAACTTCTCCTGCCTTGGGTTCTGCCCTCTCTGTCCCTGGTCTGACCCCAAGGAGAGCATTTCATTCCATCCCGTTACCCAGGCGCTCTGTGCACTGATTCGTCCCTTGGTGATCAAGAGCAGAGAGCTAGATTCACAGTTGGCCATCCAGTTTGGGATCGTATTTGTGTTCTGAGACTCTCAGGCACCTTTCTCCAGGTGACTAACATTTAGAGTGCCCTTATCATCGAAGAAATACCCTACTCTACACATTGAAGGCTGTATATGTCAGTTCTGTTGCCTCATCACAAATTATCCAATAAGCCAAAAATGCATGGCCATTTAAAGGAACAATGAGGTTGCCTATGGAGTGTTGAGGGTGGAGGTGAAGGGTTGCTTGTATTTCTTTGTCCTTATTAACTCTTGTTCATTTAGACTCGGTGGTCACAGTCAAATAAATGTTACTCTCCTTCCCATGAAACCTGACCTAAGGGGATGGAAGCTCTCCATTGTTATCTGATGCATTTACAGAGGCAGTGCTGCATAGTGGCAACCATGTAGACTCTGCAGCTAGATTGCCTAGGTACAAATCTAAGCTTTCCTATTTACTAATCACCCTGTTCTTGTTGTCGTTAGGTGCCATCAAGTCAGTTCCCACCCATAGCAACCCTATGTACAACAGAACAAAACACTGTCCAGTCCTGCACCATCCTCACAATCATTGCTATGTTTGTGCCCATTGTTGCAGCCGCTGTGTCAGTCCATCTCATTGAGGGTCTTCCTCTTTTTTGCTGATCCTCTACTTTACCAAGCATGATGTCCTTCTCCAGGGAATGGTCCCTCCTGATAACATGTTCTCAAAGTACTTGAGATGAAGTCTCACCATTCCTGCTTCTAAGGAGCATTCTGGCTGTACTTCTTCCAAGACAGATTTGTTTGTTCTTCTGGCAGTCCATGGTATATTTGCTATTCTTTGCCAACACATAATTAAAATGCATCAACTCTTCTATTGTCCAGCTTTCTCATGCATATGAGGCGATTGAAAATACCCTGGCTTGGGTAAGGTGCACCTTAGTCCTCAAAATGATATCTTTGCTTTTTAACACTTTAAAGAGGTCTTTTGCAGCAGATTTGCCCAATGCAGTAACATCGTTTGATTTCTTGACTGCTGCTTCCGTGGGCGTTGATTGTGGATCCAAGTAAAATGAAATCGTTGACAACTTCAGTCTTTTCTCCATTTATCATAATGTTGCTTATTGGTCCAGTTGTGAGGATTTTTGTTTTCTTTATAAATAACCTCATAAGGTTGTTCAAAGGCTTAAATCTAAAAGGATTTCGAACAGTGCTTGGGGCACGCTAAGTACTCAATAAGTATTAGCTATTGTTGTTGCTTTATTCTCATCACTAGTTTACTATACTCTGCTCTGATTAGGTCATATTCTTCCAAAACAGAATATATATGTTTGCACTTACACTATGTAAATCAAAGATCTTAACTAATATTCAAGTACAGTGCCAGCTGTTCTGGCAAACCCTAACATGCAAATTAAGAAAATATTCAGCTGAGCCTACTAAACGCCTAATTTGAAAAGGTTAATAATGTGCCAGCTCAGATTTAGTGCAACAGTCCAAAAAATGCTCAGTAACAAGTAGAAGTAAAGTCTAACCAAGGACTTTATTTCTTCCACAGACACTTTTGCAAAATGGTGGGTTTCAAAAGTCTAACTCAGCTAAACCTTAAGGTCAGGTTCTCAGAGGCACAAACTTTTGGATAGCTCATATCAAACAAATTAGGAAAAGATAGGTCATGGTATGTGAATAATCCAGACTGGCTCTCTCCAGAGCCCAGAATCATTAGTAATTGCCAAATCTCTAATTTAACTTGAGCATTTGGGCCTGGTCTATTTGTGCTTGTGTTTTCATGAGGAAAATATTGGCCAAGTATTTACGGTTTAGTTTAAGCA